GGCAAGCAGGATGACCCGTCTCTCGTGTGCGTGACGTCGCTCCTCATGCCCAAGTGTGACATAGTGTGCTAACCACGATCCCACCAAGGGCACCTTCCATTCTCTAAGCATAATGGCACATACTATAGTCTATCAGTACTCACGCTTGACCATTGGACTACCCCAAAAATCCGTGGCAAAACAAGGGCAACCTGGATAGCCTAAAAATTTCATCCAATTAACCACGAGGATATCAAAAAAGTGCAGTCTTCGCCGCTTTGAGGTCAATACGTCAAATTTCTTGAAGAACGTTTGTGATTTTTAGAGCCAATTCCAACTGGACACTCTGCATCTGGTGATATTTCGACCTCTACTTCAGCAGTTATAGCCATTTCGTTGGTCTCTTTGGTGAATTACGGTAAGATCTACAACCAGTATTTTCCCGCAAATTTTTTTCTGGTATTTTGTTATTTTATTGTTCAACTGAAGTCGTTCTCCTGAAAAATGAAAGCATTAACAGAGAGCAACCTCGGTCCGAAGTGAAATGACAACCCTCATTTCAGTTCTGGCGATGTTCATAATTACCGTGTTGATTGGAGTGGCTGGCTATACGGTCGTCAAGATGGTTCGATCCCCAATGATGGAAAATTTGATCAATCGACGAAGAGCAAGAGTTTTTGCTGTTAACGTTCCCACGGTCTCAGTGGAAGATAGTCCAGTGAAGCCGTCAAAGGTCAAGTCTCCATATTTAATTGAGGATTTTAGCAAGGATAGGCGCATTAAATGTCTTCCTTTCACAGGAATCTTTGAAGCTGGCATCGAAGGAGATGCCAGTAGTGCACAGGCCGTTTTTTTGAGGAAAATTCAATTTTGCTCAAGCCGTGAGACCGCAACAAATTCTATTTTGGTCGTGTACACAGATAAGCGCCACCAGATGCCGCGCAAATTCATCGTTCGCTGCGCGCGAGCGGCGCTGCGTCGGTAGGGTCTATTTCAGAACTCCCGGGTCCAATATCACGCCCAAGTGAGCTCCCCAGCCGGTTGACTCAACACAATGAGCTAATTGGCGCTACACAACGCTCAAAGGCAGACTGTACACCAACCTCCGAGGACGGTTCCTTCCATGTACGAAGTGAATCGGTCCGTAGCTGCGGTAGCGTGCCACTATTTCCGCTCATAAATGCAGGCGAACGGGTCTGAAAGGGAGTGCCGTATCCATACTCGGCCCGCATAACCTCAGTGTGTAGCATCTGCGTCGATACCAAGATTCTGTAACGAAACGCGAACTAAGCGGTGGGAAACAGCCAGAAGTGAGAAGCAGACAAGCGGCACGTTTGGCTAAGGTTAGGCGTGCGGCAAGCCGTGCGTCAACTAGCTAGGGGTACCAGTTGGCTTGCGCTTTGCCGTTCTCCGGATATCATGAACTATGCCTGAGAATAAAGAGCCTGACAGCGGCACTCTGCGACAGACAGCCAGTTCGATTCTCCATTAAGTCACTGAGGCTGAGGGGTGGGGGTAGCGTCGCGACTCAATCATGATCATAAGACCCGATCCGTAATTCTCTGAGTGGTTCGCACGCAGTCATGTCAAAGGATCCCTAACCGGGGTCGCATTTGATTGTTGTAGGAAAGGTCAGGATTGAGCCAGGAATTTCACTAGTGATAGTCGATTTTCCTCGATTTAAGAGCTATACCCCTTAGCGGGCGGAAGACAAGGCAAAACCACTAGCTCTATGATAGTTGATTGGAAATGTCCACTATTCTGCTCCCGCCCACCCACTTCCCTCCCCCCCTCGCTCCCTTCCTCCGCTAGACGGCGAAATTTCAGGGAAGTTTAGTAAGGGCGTAAGCAGTATGCCAAAGGGGATGGTACTGAAAGAAATTGAAATCGAGGAGGTCGTAGTTTGCTAAAAAAATTCTCTCCATTGCTAGAAGGTTTTTGGTGTGCATGGTATACTAACTAGTATGATACTGCACCTTTTCAGGCTTTCCTGGTGACATGGAAGAAACAACACCAAAAAAGCTGCACGAGGAACAGTTGACCGACTCATGTTGCTCGCCACTGCCTCGATGCAGCAAGGACAAGTTGTCCGTGAAGGACTGTCAGTCTGGTCGCCGAGTCAAGTACCTACCACGAGATCGACTCGTTTTTTGTGCAGCCTGTCGCAAAGGACGAATCTGGGCTCACGACCCTGGTTTAGGGAGCATGCTCACCGTCTGGTGTACGGCTACAGTTCATATCGCCGTCGTTGGCAACAGCCGGGGCGTGGAAACTATTGCTATAGACCGAGTGCAAGAGACTTTTTGGAGGGGATCGGTGCATAATCCCGGTTCTAGAACGCCTCGGTTGTTCGAATCACTACTAGTCGGGTGAGCATGTCCCCTGTGAACAATTGCTCATATTAGTTTTCTCTTAAATAGATATTGTATATATTGCCGTACTTTAATATTACTTATTCTCGCATGCTTACTCCCTTAGCTTGGATAACATTTGCATGTCGTTGGACAAAAATCAATCGTTTTTTATGTTTTTGTTCCGTGAACTTGGGCGCTGTACTCTTCCCTGGAACATAGGCGTGCGTACGCGGTGCGCCATCTGTGCCGATCGATAGTGAACCTACCTTTTGCGGCATTTAAGCGCCCCAGTTCACGAAACAGGAAATTTCACAGTTTCACGGGTCATAATAAGCGCCACTCAAAGTGGCGTTCGTTAATATGTTGTTTTACATCTGAAATGACCTGATATGCTTGTTACCTAATTTTTAAGACATGCATCCGCTCAAATTAATAGAATTCTTGTGTTAATAATGCTGCTCTAAGCATTGCACGCGCTATGATAGTTGCAAGGGCAGACGGCAGCGATACGAGGCCGCGCCCACTTCCTACACGTCTGTGCTCTCTAACCGAGGCGATGTTCGGCGAAATCGCTGGGTCCAGTGATGGTGTGGAAAGTGGGCGTAGCCTCACTTCTTCCCAATGTCTGCCCAACTACCTTAGTGCTGGGTTGTGTATAGAGATGCGAATCGTTGGTCAATATTGTATTCCCATCGACAAGCATGTTTTATATTTTTATGTATGTACAGTAATTTATTTAGCACTTTGATACATACACGTGAGTGCGGCGCTGGAGTTGTTTGAAGAGCGCTCCACGGCTCCGCTCGACTCCGTCGTGCTCTTTTAAGCTATAGTGGCCTTTATACTTCTCGGCGCGGGTGATTCAGCGCGGGAATTAGCAACGGCGCGAATGCGACCGGTCGCGCTCTACCGCTAATCTTTGGACTGCTATGCTGAATATGATTGAATCAGCAGTGGTCTCCTAGTTGCGATGGAGTGCAATCGGTCTCTGTCAGTCGATTCCCAAGCGCGCGGCGGAGTCATAAAGTATGAACGCATCAGAAATATGTATGTAGAAGTGCAGTTTGATTAATGTTTTCTTCTCGTTTCATATGAAAACAATAAATGTAATAATAGCGCAGACTATCTATGGGACTACATGACGTAGTATATTTAATTAATCTCACTAAACTAGGTGAAGCAACGGAATGTACACTCCTCTTTGCTGCGGCTGATGCGAGTGTGAAGGGGGATGGTTTTGGCTCAGCGCCAGGGCATGTTTCCGTTTTTTCTTTCTTTCGACTAGCGACAGATCTGTATCATATCGTCCATATCAGTCGCTTTAACGCCTGTATCTTATCGTCCATATCAGTCGCTTTTCACCCAATTGTTGTCGCTTACCAGCTTCAAGTAGTGCAGAACCGGCTGGCGGCGCGCCAAACCTAGCCCCACTGATAGGTTCCTTCATCCGCGAACATTACTCCACTGCCACATATACAGGGGGGGGGGGCAAAAAAAAGTCATTCCGGCCGAGTCACATATGAGCGAAGTTTTCGCAGCCCAGACAGAGGAAGTGGATATGAGTACCAGGGCGGAAGATACCCAAGATCTTCCTCTATAAGCAGGAGCCGGCTGCCGCCATTCACCTTCATGTACACCAAAATATGAAGTCATCTCCAGTCGCGGCCTGAGTGGAGAACGCCTTTGGAATTCACGTGGCCTCCAAACAGCTGCGGAACTTCTTGAATGGAATCACCCATGGATAGCTACCTGGAGACCAGTACTCTTGATCTGCAAGACCTCAAACATCGAGCAGCTCCGGCAACGTCGCTACGGTCCAGGACATCATCTTCACCCCATTCACCAAGGCGCGGGTTGATGGTGTGGACCGGCCGTACCTGGAATGGGAAGACCGATATTTTCTTTGTAGACCCCGACTGAAGGTGAGCGCTGGCG